TGCGGCGTTCGCGAGGTGTGTTGCACTGCGGTTTGGGTTCCACACCATCACATACCTGGATCCCCGGTTGCCCTTATTTTTCTGCTTTTTGCCAAATTATGGGCTACTAGTGGGTCAAGTGGCTGGCAAAAAGTGGCTAGGGGATCCAGGTAATTGTCTGGGGGAGGGTCTCGCAAAGGCTGTGCCGCTTGAACTACCAGATGCAGCTGTCCTACTATGTCACCCCCATCAAGGACCTTGGGACTGATCCCGCTTGAAGCATGAGCTTCATTTCAACCTCCCGCCAAAGAAGAAGGGGGGGGGAATGACCGACACCGGAAACGTGCATTGCAAGCAAGCGCAGGGCATCTAGAGCTACGTCTTGAATTCGCAAGATTGAATGGCACATGAGTCCTTTCTTTGTGCCTATCAACGGGTCACGGGTGGAGGGGGAGGGTAGAGCTTATTTCTTTGACCTCTGAGGATGAACTGGCCCCACAGGCAGCAGCCTGCAGCGGAGTTTTTGAGAGCAACGCCCGGGACCAGCGCCCTGGACTCATGAACCGCCCGCTTTTGGGACAGTGCTGTTCCTTATGGCAATGTGGAAACAGATCTTGGACTTTCTTCAGCTTTGGTGGGAACAGGTGTTTTTTTGGACCCATGTGCACAAAAGGTCATTCACTTTTGCAGAGGGGTCTCGCCGGCAACCAAGTGTTACTTGGAATTTTGGACATGAATTTTTGGACATGGGATTTTGACAGCTTGGGGGGGGGGGTAAGCATGGTCGAATCTTGTGCGCAAACCCCTGGAAACCCATGTTTTCCAAAGGGGCTTTGCAGTGCGCATTGAATCCCTTGCTGGCAGCGGCTTGTCTAAATGTCCATGCGCCAGGAGCCATGTGCCACACCCTGGATTGATAAGCTTGGTGAATTCATGCGGGGGCTTCGCCGAAAAGTGAAGGATTCCCTCCTAGATGGGGGGCACCGCAGGTTTCTTAGTCAACTGAGCTCCCATTCGGGCCTCGACAGTGGGGTGCCTGGCCCTTTCCTCTGTCCGCGCGAGGTGCGTCGGCTTTTGCCAGCAAGTGCGGAAGGCAGGGGTTGCAACAGTCCCCAGTCCCCTTTTCTTTTAGGCGCCAGAAGCAGGTTTTATGGGAATTGCAGCCACTTTCATACCAAGAGGCCTTGCAATGCTTTTCTTTTTCCCTGGCGCAGTGGGAACTAAGCGCTAAGCCTTCCGCGCAAGTTGGGGTTTGTCAACTCTGGAAGGCCTCGGAGGAGCGCCAGGACTGCGTGATGTTTGCGCCTGGGCGTTTTGGGAGTTGCCAGGTCGGGGCGTGTTGCAGCCAGCCAAAACAAGAGACACTTCTGTGTTGATCCTATGACTGCTGGCCGAAGTTTGGCGAATATAATTACTCATATACTCATAGACTTCAGGGGCCCCCAACAAGGGTCACTCCAATCGTTCTTTTCAACCGCCTTTCGTGCCCACCAGACAAGAACAAAAAAAAAAAACAAAACATACACATGTCGAATGTCCTGATGCTTGCTTCGAGCTTTAGATTCGGATCGGGTTCGGACAGGGTTTCCGAGCCATCCCGTTTTTGGTCTACCTCCAAAAGGGGCAATCGTTTCAAGAGGAGGCCACCAGTAAACTGATCAAGTTTTTCGGGAACCCTTTCGTGACTCCTTTTTTCAAGGGACCCCTCCGACGGCCTTGGGCTTCCTTGTGGCTTTCCTTCAAAACCACCTCCCAGCGTGCTTTTTCTCAGCAAAAAAGCCACCGCGGGCGTATTTTGTCGTTTTTTTTTTTGAGGGGGGGGGGGGGCGTGTTTTTTTGTTTTTGTTTTTTTCTTTGGGGCGGGGGGTCAAGGGTTGAAAGTTCCTGATCAGAGGCTCGCAAGTGGCACATCCTCGGCAAGTGGGCAGCAGAGGTGCTCGCGCCGACGCCGGCGCCGGCTTGCCGCTGCTTTTCGCGTCCCCGTTTCGTATCTCGAGTCAGTGCCGTTACAGGATGGGCAACGTAACTTGGGTGTGTCTTTTGCTTTGGGGTGGTTTTCCCTGGTTTCCGTTCAAAACTTGCCAAAAACAGGGGGACCCTCAAAAAGACACACACACACACACCCACTTGGCCCCCTCAGGAGCAATTGGGTAGGATTCCGCAACCCGTGGATGTCTGTTGAAAGTTAAACATCGCCGGGAAAGGGGGGGAAACCAAATATTGCGAATCAGCCTCTTGTGGACCCACCCCTGGATCGTTCCAAGTTGGGTGCTAGACCACCGTCACCTATATGTCCCTTTTTGCTGGTCTTAAACGTCACCCTTTGGTCATGAATTTCAATCGAGTTCCTGTTGGGCTGATGCTTTTTTGGGCAAATGCGGGAAATGCGGTGAGGGGGCAATTCATCCAGAGCCCCGTCTGGCAAAGAAGAGCGGGTTTAATGTGGTTGCCCGCATGTGAACAAATCCGCCGCCTCCGACGTTGGCCCCGCCCTCCCCCCGGTGGCGGCGTGCAGATCTTCGACTTCGGCCGGGGCGTGGAGCAAGGCCCGGCGCATGTGAACGAGCTGTTTAGCAGGAAGAGCTGCGAGGGCGTGCTGCCGCTGGGACTTGAGCCTAGTTAACATCGCGTCCCTGGGAACATTTCGTTTTCGTTTGTTTTTTTTTTCAAACAATGGCAATAACATCAATAATGACAACAATAAGGATGATAGTTATAATAATCACAACAATAAGAATAGAGTATGTATATATATATATATATGTACACATGCATGTATGTGTTTTTTTTTTTCTCCGGGGGGGGGGGGAGGTTGGAGCCAACGTTTACACGTTGTCTTTCTTCTTGGTGCCCTTTTCTTCGGGTTGGGAGGATTCCAAGCGGACCTGAGAAGTTGCATGAAGCTTGCTGGTTCCCTTTCTGACGTTGTTTCAAAGGGAAATCCAAGAAACAACAACAACATTTTGCAGGTCCCCCCTGTTCGGACACAAATTCGGATGATCACTCCCTGGAGAATCCAGTGCAGAACAAGGCTTTCATGATTTAGTTTCTTTGAGGGGGACGGCCCATCTCCTGGAAGCCTTTTCCCAGATCATAGTAGGTCGCTGTTAACCCACTTTGGATGCAACCAGCTGGCAGGTAGACGTAAGAAGGAAGGCAAATTCACACCTGCAGCCGTCCACAAACACAAACAGGCAGCAACTAAAAGCCACACGACCGCCAAACTCAAACACCAGATCCAGGGTTCCCATTATGAGTCAAAGGTCCCTCCCAACATCGAGACAATTCCATCAAGAGCCATCCCCCTTGTCTTGAGCTCCGCGTTTCCGAGGCAAAGTGTGGACAAGAGCAACCCTACTGTGAACACTTTCTGCGCTCTTGCTGCCGGGGTTGCTATGTTGGCAGCGCCACCTGGCAAGCAGTTCGCATGCCTTTGGTGCATGCTCAGGCGCGCTGGAGCGCGCTGCGCCTGTCGAGAGGGGGTCCAGCCTTCGGACACCCAAGGTTCGCGGCTTTCGCGCAAGTCATGGGCGACCTGGCGGAGACGAACCTGCGCAAAGATTGATGAGAGGATGCGCATTTCAGAGCTGGACATGCAGACGTCAGCTCTGCTCGGCATTTTGCGCCCGGCTTGCGCCGGAAGCCACGGAAGCCACACCATAGGTCTCCCCACAAGCGCCTTTGAACAGTAGGCACTTGGCATCGATTACCTCGGCACAGGAGAAAAGGCAGAATCCGCCGGCGTTCGCACGACACAAAAGGCACTCACGCAGCAGGTAGGAACGGGGAATTATCATGAGTTGCCCACTTCTGTGATACCAATGGCTTCGCAATGACTAGTTCTCCTTGCCTCTGTGCTGAGAACCCAGAATGAATCAACTCCAGCCAATAGGGTGTCCCTGGGTTTAGGGGGGACTCATCACTTTTGGCGGGTCTTTCACCCTATTGATCACCTTGGGGTTTCTTCATCTGGGGTTTGACCACTCCCTTCCCGCAAATGACGGTCGCCTCGATCAAGGCGTAGGCTCGGGCTTCGAGGCGCGCTCTCGGGCGTCTCGGGCGCAGGTTTGGGGTGTTGCGGTGTTTCGGCCGCAGGCGCGCGGAGTGCAGGGCACTCAGCTGGTTGCGTGGCCCTTTGAACCTCGGAAATTGCCAGACTTCGCCTTGGTGGTTGGAAGGGAGCCGAGTTCCGGAGCTGGGGAACTTTGCTTGCAAAGAGGGAGCCTTGCGGAGCTACCAGGAGTTCTGCAATGGTTTCCACATTCTGTTCAATCATCGTTCTTTTCAACAATTCCAGCTGTTTCCCGTGGGTTTAGGGCGGTTTCCTGAAAGAAGGATTCCTGGAAGTTATTCCCTACCCGTTCACCTTTTTGCCTTTTTGCGTTTTGGGGTTTCCGCGTTAAGCAGCATCTTTTCGTGGGCTGTTTAAAATTGGGTTGGGCTTTTATAAAGCCCAATGTAAGTTTCCATTTAACATACCAAGAGAAGGGCGGGGTTTGGCATAAGCGAGACAACAGAGACTTTGGGATCCTTCCCCTCCCAAAAAGTCCTGAGAACCTTGAAGAAGATTCTCAGAGACTTTGCTAGCTGGTGGTCGGAAGGGAGCTAAGGAACTACCAGGAGTTCTAGTAAGGACATGGTAGCTGGCGGGGTTGGGGGCTTTGGGTACTTCCCAGCACTAGGTCTCCACAAGCGCGGGATCGCGACAGAGACATGAGAAGAGGCAGGGATGAAGATCGCACCGGACAGGGTGGAGGTTTCTAAAACTGGTGGCCCCGTTCTTGATTGGCAGGGAAAACGAAAGGAAACAACTCATGTTTAGGGGCCTTGACTCCATTTAAGCTTCTACTCCCTCGCCGCCACTGCAGCCTGGCGGCCACTTTTACCTGTCCGCTGGGTGTTGGTGAAAAGCCAACATTTTTGGCTGCAGGCCCTGCGACAAACATCCGGGACTCCCTCACGGGACCTGTGTTGGCGCGCAGAACCGTCCTGCTCTCAGCACATGTGCCACGGGCTTTGCCGCCCCCTTTACTAGACCACCAGTCACCGGATTTCTCTTCTTAAAAATGAGTCTGGCACAGAAATCGGGGGTATTGTATGCACCATTGCTCAGCCGGATGCCTGGCCAAGGAAAGCCCGGCACCAGAGCCGACCCGCCGGGATTAGAGAACCGGCGCCCAGCCAAGCAGCTGAGTCGCTTGCCTCATGCCTGTATGGTGTTCCTGCGTTTTGGTTTTTTTCCTTTAATGTGTGTATGTGTATGTGTGTTTTTGAACAGTCCCACCCACCATATATTTGTGGCTTTTGCAGAAGACGGGGAGGTTTGCAATGCCAGGGAGCGACGCTCCAGCTCCTTAGATCCGCCGAGAGGCTGATGGAGGGTTGTGCTGCGTGCGGTTTGATGCTGCGCCTGGGGATGCAAAGATCATTCGGTGAGCATCTTGGAGGTAGGGAAATCGTTATTGCGCACCCACGCTCCACTCAGAACTACAGCCAAATGGATGCCCCTTACCAAAAAAAACACCCACACACACACACACCATTTCCTGTCAAAACCTAGTCATGGCAAGTCATGAGCAGCTCCAACTTCTGTTCAGGTCATACAATTTAGACCTCCGGCGCAAAACAACCAAAACACAGATGCCCAGCTTGGCCCCAGGGCCGCCGCGCAGAAATGAGCCCGGGACCAAGCTCGATTGGTTCGGAGTTCGGACGCCTGGCTGATTCATGGTGTCTGGTGGTCTTTTTCGGGCATCCTTCGCGCTAGGGGAGGCCCCCTCCCCTGTGGATGGACGAAGTCCTGCACCTGAGAAACCCTGGAAGGATTCGATTCCTGAACGTAAATGCCAACAAACCTTATGGTTTCAACCCTGGTTTCATTTCGGTGGTGCGAGGCGTGGATTTCGCTTTTCCATCCAAAGTACCAACTGGCAGGTCGCCGGTGCGCGGGGACGTCCGCGGCCTGTGGCTCAGAGGGCCCTTGCGAAGGTTCAACGCATGGGGCGACCTAGCGAAGCTGGAAAATCACAGGTATTCGCTTCAAATCGAATTTTAGGCATTCGCTTACGGCCTGTCAGAGGATTTTGACCAACACCATCTGAGTGGGCCACCGCCCTGTAGCCATAGGTGTCCTTTTGGGTTGTTTTGCTTCAAAAAGAGAAGGCCCTGCTTTAGCCTGGTGGTTCAATCATCTACTAGGGCCCCAAAAAGGACGCCTATGTGGAAAATTCTTGGTACATGGAGGCCATAGTAAAAACAAAAAAAAACAAATAATGCGGATGGAGAAGCGACATCCAGTCCGCAGCACCTAAATGAAACCATGGTTGATGCCGTGACGCTTGCTGGCATGTACTTTTTTGGGCATCATCATTTCAGGGTTTCTGAAGTGGTGCAAACGGATTTCATCCGTCCGCATCGACGTCCAGAGGAGATTAAGTGGCCCACGCCCCCGAGGTCGCTATCCGGCCACTCAGTCTCCCAGCCCAAGCGGCGACCTCAAGTCCCAGCGATCGACACGTCTGCAGCGCAACGCATTCGCGCCAGGCTTTGGCTTCAACCTGGGCATGCGCGCCACCACCCCTGCTCCAGCGCCCGCTCCCTCGGCACGGCACCAAGCATTCTTTTTGGCGATGAACCAGGGACGGTTTCGAGAAGCAAAAACTGGCAACTCCACAACATGAAGCCCCTCAAAAAAGAGGGCTCCCCCAAAAATGAGATCCCTCTAAAACTGGCGGGTTCTAGCGTTCCATGCGAACATCTCGGGGAGGACTTAGCTTCTTCGCCGGCCGAAAGAAAGCGCCCTGGAGACATGGCCCGAAAAAAACCGCCCCAGGCCGCGCAGCGCGGCATGGGCGCCTTCCGCGGGAGCCGGGGGCCGGCCGCCTCCTCGGACCCAAAGCGACCCGACGCCTCAGACGCGCCGCGACGCCGCCGAGACTCCGCGCGTCAGGTCCGCGCGAAGGCGGACGTGCTGCTGGATTCAGCCCGTCCAGGCGCGAGCGTGGAAGCTGGAAAAAGCTGGGTGCACTCGGCATCAGGCAACGTGGCAACCAAAGACCAACCATTTTACAGTTTGTGGCCTGAAGGGAAACCAATGGGAACCTCTCAATGGAGTTCGCCTAAGGTGGGACAAGACACAGCATCGGATTCCATGTGCCCCCCTCCCTTCCCCGCAGCCAGAACCCCAACATGTGTTTCAAAGGGTTCCTTTTTGGGCATGGTCCGGTTCAATGGGAAACAACCATCGGTTTCGAGAGGATATCTTTTGGAAGACCACCATTTTTTGGGAAGAACAAGTGAAATCACCATTTTTGGACAGGAACGGAGGACCCCCCATTTTGAGGGGAGTCTAGGAAAGCCGCGCACTTTTTGAGGAAAGCCATCATTCTACATGTTCGAGGAAACAGCACCAATTGTTCGATGATTTTCATGTGGTAGGTCAAAAATAGGGTAACCCCAAAATGAAACCCTAAATGGAAACATTGACTAACACCTGCCATTTCTTGGTGGCTTATTTGACCCATACCCATGTTTTGGGGGGCCTCGTTCCCATCGCAGGGCGCCGGCCCTCGACAGCGCCCCCACCAGCGCCGGCGCGGTCCAGCTCTGTGCGCCGCCCTGTGGGGGCGCCTGATGGCTCGAGCCAACTTGAGCTCCTGGACTAAAAGTCACGGTTTGGGGTTTGGACCATTTTGATGTTAACCCTGGAGTTAAAAAACAACAACACCTGGTTGATTAATAGGGGGGTGTCCCCTTTTAGTGGGGATTCATCACTTTTGGGGAGAAACCACCCTGAATAATTGGACGGGTTTAATACTCCTGGGTCAACATTACTGGCAAAGGGCTTGGAGCGTTTTTTTTTGGCTAATCCAGTCAGGAAGCGGTTCTTCACTGACACTGTTCTTGGCACGTCTTCAGTTTTTTTTGCTTTGGCAAAATTTTTAGTAGGGGGCTGCAGCAAAGAGAGTTTTTTGCTGCCATACCAGCGGTTGGAACATGGATTTGGGTTGCTTGACTGTTTTGGACTGTTTTAATGAGTTTGTTTATGTTTTTAAGTTCTGCCCATAGGACTGGACGGTGTGTCTCGTTTGGAAGGCACCGTTCTTGGTGGTGGTAGGAAGCCACCATTTTGGGTTTGTTTTCAAAAGGGAATCCCTTCTTGGATGGTTTTAGAGGGAAACCGAGCCACTTAGATGGGTCCCCAACAAAAACACAACCCAAATATAGTAGCTGCATATCCTTCAAGAATCCACGATACGGCAGGGTTGGCAATGCTGGCGCATGGAGCCTACGCTTGAATGCTGGTCCAGAGTGAGCCCGTGTTGCAGGGCGTGGCAGAGCGTTACGCAGCGCGACGCATCGCTAACTCGTGGTCAGGTGGGGCCGTACAAGGATACAACGAAGTGCCTGCAAATGAAGAAGCGGAGAAAGGTAGCTGTTTTAAGCCAGCAAACTCTAATGTAAGCAAATCGATTGTCAGGGCTTTTGCAATCCCACGAACCGCCTTTGAGGGTAGTGGAAGCCATCGTAGAAAACTGCGACTTCAGCAGTCAGCTATGGCAATTGTCAAAAGGAAAGTCCCCAGGAAGCGGAAAGTGAGGATTCCCTTTTGTCACTGTTGTCCAACCGGACATACGCAGTCAAACGAGATATGGGACAGGACAGCTTCTTGCCCCCAAGCAAATCCAAAGGCTCCAAACATGTCTAAAAGTTTGAAAGGACTGTGTTGGACTAAACTCATGCATCGCATGTGGGGATTTTGTTTTTTAGGCCGCCAAAATGGATTTCGGTTGACCTCTTGGTTTTCCTTTACCTACCAACGAAGGGGTACACAGCCTCAAAGAAGGCACACCCATGTGTAGAATATTAAGTTATGTATTTACACACATGCATACATATACTTGTATATACACGCGATATTTACATATTTACCATACATACATACCACATGTATATACATATAAATACATATACATATATATCTATATTACACAGGTATATATATATACACCCAGGGAATCCAAAGACATGAGTAAACAGCGTTTCATACGTCTTTAGCGAGTAAACGTGGTCTTGGGAAATTTCACGCTCATTCACGCTGCTCACGTGTTCACCTCTTGTTCTGCCACTGCACAGTCAGGCATCACCACCGCATTTTGCGCCAGATTGGTATTGATATTGTGTGCACAATTTTCATTGTTCGATAAGATAGCGCTAGGCGCACGTGTAGTCTAGTGCTGGAGCTAGGCGTTTATCAGGCACCACGCCAGGATCATCCATTGGCTGGCTGGACACACCACAATTTACACTTCAGGGCTTGCACGAGCACCGTGCTGAGAAGTAGACCGAGATTGCCATGCACATTACACACAGGAAGAATCCAATCTACAATGCGCACATGCTAATTGTGTGGAAACATTGCGGCCAAATTTTGCAGGCCCAAGGATCTAGTCCGAGCCACATAGCTGGGCAAACGGCTTTGTAGCCATGTAATTGTTGCAGACCGAACCAGCAGGTTGTGGCATTTGGATCCGGGGGGGGGGGGAATTCACGTTTTTTTCACGGGTAAACTCCGTCTTTCACGGGTAAACTCCGTCGTTCACGCAAAATTCACGGTTGGCTCACGGTCCCCGATTTGTCAACGATATTGGTGAAGCATACAAATATAAACCGATACTGTCTGCGATTCCCATACAGCACAGCTAGCCTGAAAGCATCCAATTACCACCTCCTAGACGGTAGCCCTGCCCATGGCACAACCCAAGACACGCTGTTGCGCAGTGCTGCCACGAGTGTGTTGTTGTGCGTGTGACTTCTTGTATGCTGATGCCATCGCGTGAGTCACGCAGCGCAGCAGCGAAATACTTGCATGTGGCCAAGGTAATCTTGATCCATGGGGTCCATATCCATGCATGCTGCATAGCTAGCATGAAGGCTTAACTTGTCACATGCGTGGAAAATATGCCATACATGACTGCAATGTACATTGTTTGGCATGCAGGCATGCACGTTGCATCACCGGACCTTTGATGGTGCTTTCAGTTCTTGGGCCCAGTCAACAAATACCCCATTCACGGGCCATTCACGGGTAAACACCGTCTTTTGGGTTAAACACCGTCTTTCTGTAAAGACATAGTTTACTAGCGACTTGGAAGTACTGTACACATACACACATGTATTTACCGTATATACATTTGTTGGTTTGTGGAGTCGTTTTCTCACGCCTCCGGATGTCCGGGCTACGGAGGCCTCACCGGGAGCGCCGGTGAGGCGTGCCGGCCGCGGTTTCGCTCCCCGATTCGCGGGGTGTGGGGTGGGTTCGGACGGAGCCAGCGGACTTCAGCGTTTTCGAGCAGGTAGCAAATTCTGGCTGCGCCAAAGAATTGAAACAGCATCCAACAGACCAACCTGTCCCGACTTCCCTACATCAACTGATTCTTGTCATGTTCAGGTTGACCAAGCTTCCTGCGCTTACCTTGCCTGGATAAGACCTTGTCCGGGGCGCCTCTTTCACCATTAGTCTGTCGAACTGTGGAGGCTCGGTGGCGCGTTGGCGCGTCGTTTTTTTTAACGTTTTTTTCGTCGTTTTCCTCGTTTTGCGCATCTTCAGCTTGAGTGGTGATATATATATATATAGTTTTTGCGGGGGGCGGAGGGGGGTTCGGCGCGGCCTTTTCACCGCGGGAGGGTGACATTCGACCGTGGCGCGTGGGGAGTGATGTGGAAGTGCGGCGTGAAAAGCTGGCAAATTCAAGGGACTGCCTGAATGAAGGCAACGAAGGCATGACTCCTCCGGCTGTGAGTGGAGATGTGCTTAGCGAGTTGGAGTTATGCGAGAGACTCGGGGCACCACCGACTGTGGCAGCCCATCAAAAACGGGGTGGTTGCAGACGTCTTCCATGGTATGTCTGCTTTTAAACGATGATGTCCACCAAAAGGCGCATGTCCAATGAAAGTTAATGCTTGCAGCCTACATGACAGTTCAACTCAAGCAACACTTACACCTGCCATAAGTTTCTTAAGTGGGTTGCAACTGAGACCTACACCACTTGCTACCTTTGCATAGGTATATTAACATGGCGGCCAAAAAGATGGTCCCCGGGCTGCCCTGTGAATCTGTGGGAGGGACAGTACAAGTGCCCCTTTCCGTGGCCTGACGCTAGATCGAGTTCCTCCCGGCCGCCGTCCCCGCAGCGGCCCCGGAACATTCTGGCCAAAGAGGCTCTCCAAACTGGCAGCTCTAAACGTCCACCGGCATCTCTAAACGGGTTGGTCTATGTTGGTTTCATTTCGGCCTTTGTTTGGAAGACGCCTCTCGCAAAAAGATGGCTGACAAAAGACGCTTCCTTTGGGTTCCCGTCTTCTTAACGGGTGCCGGGGTCTGGTTGCCAGACCCACTTCCGTTGCTCAGGAACACTCGCTCGCAAAGCGGCCCGCCAACCAGCGCACCGAGGTATGCGCTTGGCTCAGTCGCGAGGGATGGGGCTACATGGCTTGGGCGATGACCACAGGACCCAGCAGTCAGCCGTGGACATTCACTCAGCTTCCATTTGAAGACTAATTTTTGTTTCCCCCCCTGTTGTTGTGTTAAAGGGAATCTATCACTACTGGATTTTATTTTTGTTTTTTCCGGGGGTCGTAGCCAAATGGAAGCAAGCGCGATCCTGGGGCAGTCCAGCTAGCCATTCGCCAGATGCACCTCGAGTCGTGGACCGCGAGCTCAGGTGCCGGGGCACGCCTATGCTGGCGGCTCCTCTGCTTTTGAGAGGCCGTTTGCCAGGGACGCCTAACTTCGGCTTATGTCAGCTTGCGCTTCGAACCTTCCTAACCAGCTTGCCCCCTTTCTTCTCCCACTTCTCGTTTCGGAAGCCCACCACGCTCAGCGGCCAATGCCACCAACGGCCTTCCTTTGCAGGGCTCCGTTTCTTGACTAATTACCCCAAAGACGACTCAAACCCAAAGGTGGTTGATTTCCCCAAAAGGGGAACCCCTGGATTTAAGCCGACCTTGGGGTAGTCAAAAACCCGAACCCGGTTCCTTTGGTTCCCGCGAGCGAGACGCCAGGTCCAGCCAGCGGTCCATGTCGTCTCACTTGCGGCGCGCGCCGTCCCCCCCGCCGGCGCCCGGCGGCTCAATGTCTCAAGGGGTGGCTGAGGCCCTGGGTGCAGCCGAAGAAAATCCAGGTACGCTCGAGCCCAACGATCTGGGTGAATTGTAACAACCTCACACGACCTCACCCCCGAAAGGGTGGTTTATGTGGGGAGTAACCCTCCCAACCATCTTAGTTCAGGCTGGTGAAATATGATAATTCACCCAGAACTATGCGGATTCTGATTCTGGGGAGTGTTGAGTGAACTCATGTACAAGCGGCATTGTTCTGTGTTTCGTTTCATGGGAGGTTTGGTCAACATATCCAGTCAATCAACGGAAAGGGACTCACGGACTCACTTGAGTGTCCCGCAGAGGGGCCAAGGGGGGCTTGCCCTCTCATTTGCAACAATGGGGCAACCTTTTTGTTGACCGTTTTGGTGGGCTTCAATCGTCTTGCTGCTCAGGTAGTGAGGGAAACCACCGGTTGGATGGTTTATCAGGGTCATTTGATTTCTCTTAAGCTTTCCCTTTCTGGCACCGACCGGCTACCCTCAATTCAACGCGCAAGCATCTCATGTACCTCAGTCATACAGCAGAGGACAGTTGGTTTCAGGCCTCCACTTTTGGACTACCCCAAGATATACTTAAAATCAGGGTTCTCCTTTTGGAGGCAGTGAACCACCCCTGGGTTCAAGTCCGGGGTAATCAACACGTGGAGCCCTGGTTGATTTCTCTTTCCCTGCTGAAGTCGCCGCAACTCGTTCGCCTGGCGCCGAGGTTCAACGCCGCGCCGCGGAACTCCTCCCCGAAGCCGCGCTGGCGCGCGTGAGGCGAAGGCCGGCGGAGCCGCGCGCTCGAGTCTGGACTCGGAGCCCCGGATGTGGGTCTGAACTCGGAACGGTGGGCTTTGTCAGAATACAAAACTCCCCCCCCCCAAACAAAAAAGAAGAAAGAAAAACAGCCCCTCCCAACAAAAAGCAAGTGTACAAACCCCCCCCCCCGCCAAAACAACAACAAAACGGAAGTGTACAACCCGCCCCCCCCAAAAAGAAGAAGAAGAAGCAAAAACGCAATACAAGAGCTGGGAGAATGGCTGCCATACCCATGGTTGCAGTGCCATTGCTTGCTCCCCGTCTTTTGTTCTTGCTGGTGCGATGGGCAGGCCATGAGAAATGGAATGACCGTAAGAAAAACCATCCAACTGGTGATTTCCTTTATTCGGGAATCGCTGGGTTGATTCCCACATTCCCACTGAGCACTGGCAAGCAAACATCCCCCCCAAACAAATCGGTGGGAGAACAATTCAGAAGACGGCTCGTCTTTCCTGTTGTTGCCCTTCGGGAGCCCATTGAACCGGGGGGGGGGGTCCCCAACTTAAGCATCAAAATGTTCTCCTGACCATGCGTGCACACGCGTGGAGCTTGAGACTGCCACTTGGAAGGTTGGGCCTGTCCGAACCCTGGAAGGTTCATTCCCATGCTTTTTCAGAACCGGCAAGGTTCTTTACTGACGCGATGGGCCCCTTCGCATGTTCAGCGCGAAAGTTACGCATGCAGGCGTGGTATCGACCGATGCCTGGAGGAGAAGCGCTCCAAATGAATCGACGCAAGCTGAAAACATGCGTCACGAATGTGTTGCAAGGGTCGCGACTGCCGAGCTTTGACCTGTTGACCCTGGGCTTCGTTGCCCACTGAGCAGAATGCCCGGTAGCATCTCTTGGCACCTGGTATCAGGCATGATTTCTCTTGGTCCTGATGGGTTCGCTTCCGGTCACTGCCACTTGTGCATTGTTCCATGTTTGGCCATTTTGGCCTTGTTGCCTTTGACTCAGATTCCTCAGCTCTTGCATATGAAGCCAATGTCTGCGATTGGCGGCGGTGGGAAGGCTGTTTCTTCGCGCTACAACCTACTTCCCTCATCAAAGTTGTTCAGGGAACCACACAAGCGTCCGGTGGAGCTTTATCTCTTTTTTCTGACGTGATTTCGGGTCCAAGACCCATTAAGCGTGCTGGTTCTCAGCAGAAATGAGGGAATGAACCCCAAAAGCCATCCCTTGTGGTTTCCTTTAGGTTCATGCCCAACACCCGGACTCGGAAGGTCATTCCCTACCTCTCGCACCACCAAGTGAAGATCGCCACGTGAGCCACAATCAAAACCCGTTTAGATGAAGGTTAGCAAGGGATAGTCTCAACCACAAATGGTTTTGATTCTTTACATGGTTCTGGGCAGACAATTTTGATAATGTATTCCTCACATGGCTGTGGGTCAAAACCAATGGTACCATTTTGGGGTAGGTGAATTCACCACACATTTTAGAACCTATTTAGTGGGGATTGGGATGTTCACATAAAAAAGAAACTAATAAAAAAGCAGGGGTTTATGAATAGGGGGCGTTCATGACTGTGTTTTACTCACATGTCTCATGCTGCTGCCATGGCTTCCGCTCTCGCTCTCGCTCTGGGCGGTGGCGTCCCAGCGGGTCTGGGTCAAAGCGGGGCGGGTGCTGGTGGGCCGGCGCGTGGTGAACCAGAGCCTCACGGAGCTGGGAGTGCCCGCCTTCGAGTGGACCGAGTCGGAGGAGAGCCTAGGGAAGCCGAAAGGGCGGTTGGTGGAGTGTGCTAGGTCCAGCTGAGCCCTTTACCAACTTGAGTTGGTTGGGAGATTCGGTTCCCCTACTAAAATAGACTACAGATGACTACAGAAAAAAGTTGGTACCAACTTATTCTAGCCTCTCTACTGCAGGACCTAGGTGCGTCTTTCCTTGGACCCCAATCATGGTTGTTGTTGGGAAACATGTTGCATTTTTGCTTGTTGTGGCTTGGTGGTTGAAATCCCCACTTGACTGCTAGAGTTTAAGTTTTTGCTCCCCTTCCAACGTCCACCAAGCCAAGTAGATGTGGCCATGAATTTAAGCAAGGAACCAACTGGAAAGTGGTTGGTTTTTACAAAACACTCACCAACATGATGTCCACCAGAGGGTCTCTGACTAAACTTCATGCCCATGTAGGTTGCTCGTTTAAAACCGCAAAAATGGGGGGCGCCAGCTCCATCTAAGGGTGGAAGTACGTCCCCCTTGTTCATGCCCCTTGGCTTCCCTGGTTCCCAACCCACTTTATAAGGTGTATATACCGCTTTTGGGGAGAGGGGTATGAACATCAGCAGGCCTCTTGGGTTGCTTTGTCCAAGGGGTATGTACAGGCATCCCTGGAGAAAAGACGCTTGAAACCAAGGCCGCCCTCGTGGAGTGCGTGCGGCGCCTGCTCACCTGCTATGGCCAGGTGCCGCCTGAAGGCGGCGCGGGCTTGGCTGGAATGGAAAAAGGACAATTGCCCTTTCTTAGGGAGCCCTCCCTTTCTTAGGGAACCCTGACCCTTCCAAACAAAAATAATGCAAGAAAACAAACAAATAGACACAAACATGAATATGTAAGCTTAACGGTGGTATTCCTGTGGGTTTTTCCTTTCAGCTACCCCCCGAAAAGCGGGTTACCGCGCCTCCACAAACGACGGCCCCCCCCCCCCCCTCCAAACGAGGGGGGCGATGGGATCCGATTTCTCCAGGCCTGCGCCAGCTCACCGCCACCTTCCCGGAGAGCGCGCGGTGCTTCGAGGCCAAGCTGTTCGCCTGCCACACGCGGTGGACGCGTCTCGGATGCGGTTTCGGCGGTGGGAGGGTGGAGGGTGCAGGGGGTAGAAGGACACCGACGACCATTGGGGACCTGCGGGTTTTTTAAAGGGAAAGCAAATGGCACAACCAAAATGGATTCCCGGAAACATGGAAATTGGCTTGACCCAGGGGAACCAGATAGATGCATCCGCATACCCTACTTGCAGGCAAATGGATCAACGAGGACTTTTTGGTTGAATGATTGCATGTTGGTCCAAAAACAATCGGGAGCCTTGGGGTGTTTGGGGATTGATCAGAAGGTCCTTGACATGGGATGACATCAGGGAAAGCACACCAAAAGATATGACTTTCCCAGCGAAATCCATTTCGCACCACGAATTGAAACCATGGTTGAAACCATTGCTGGTGGGTGTTTGCAAGAGAATCGAATCAATCCAGGGAATCCGAACGGTGGTGCGAAAAATACTAATAACAATTGGGAAACATCAGACACCCTTTTTGAGGGTACCCAGCCGTCGGATTTCGCAACCATCTAGTATGACGTTTCCCACGCCCTTTTGGTTTTGTCCCTTGGCTTGCGTGCCAGGCATCTCTCCTACCAGGGCCCAGTGTGGTACCCGGCGCGCGCCTGGACGGACCGCTACTTCTCCTTAAGGAGGTTTCCGTCGAAAGGCGCAACCCTTTTTTTTTGCAGCGCGCCTGGTGGTTTGCACATGTTGAGTTTTTTTTCTTCGAACCCCTAGAACAACTTTCAAAAAACCGCCTTCGGGCGTGGGAGAACCCCTCAAATATACCGAACACTCGCACAACCTGCGGGTCCCAACCCCGGAAAAAACCCGGACGCTGGAGGTGCAAGCTTGTGGTGCCTCTTCTTTCGGCGCGCCCACATCAAGGGCCAAACCATCCTGCCCTTCGACACCTGCCAGGCAGAACAAAACAGCTTCAAGCATAGGTGCCCTTTTGGTTGGTTTGTGTAACAAATAGAGGGCCCTGGTTTACCTGGTGGTTCAAGTATCTACCAGGGCCATCTATTTTTCAAAGGACACCTACGAATTCAAAGAAGTCCGGGGGTGGTGGTTTCCACTTTCGTGGAGGTTGTGGTAAGGGCGTTTGTTTCTCCCAAGGGGAGAAAGGAAATGTTGGGTTCTGCAAAAAGGGTGCCGATTGCATGCATCAAAGGAGAATGCGTGTAGCGTCCTGGGCCTGCTTTGTTAGAACAAATTTAGGGGCACCCAGGGGGTAAAAAACGCGTGGCTACCTGCTGTGCCTGCTATAGTGGCAACTGGAAGCATTGGGCTTTATAACCTCGCTGGGTAGAAACAAAAGTCTAAAACATGTGAAAGTGTACCCCTTGTTTTGCGGCTTTAACAGCAAACCAAAAGGACAACCACCATTTTGGGTCCCCTAAAATGAGAGAGACATACACAGTTTTCCGCTTTGGTTCTACAAGGTAAGCGACTTAAACGCAGGGGTGGTTCATTTCCACTGGTTTAAGTCTTCCTTGGGGTAGCCAAAAAGTGGAATTCTGTCCGCTGGTTTTGGGTGAGGTGTGTGCCGACACCAGCCACGCGTTTGTGGGCAAGCCCAGCTGCAACATCGGGAAGGTGTGGAGGCCCGCCGGCTTCGCGCGCTTCGAGAACTCCATCCACCACAACATGGCCTTCCTGGCGACTGACCAGAGCGCGCCCGAAATAAGGGCCCTTTGATTGCCGTTTGTGTGTGGGGGGGAGGGGGGGAGTGGGTGGGTGCAGCGGGTGGGTGGGGGTGGGTGCAGTGGGTGGGTGGGGGGGTGCAGTGGGTGAGTGCAGTGGGTGGGTGGGTGGGTGGGTGGGTGGGTGGGTGGGTGGGTGGGTGGGTGCAGTGGGTGGGCTTACTTGCTGTTTGTTACTTGTTGTTGTTGCTGTAGTTTTTTGTTACTGGTTGTTTGTTACTGTTGGTTTCTCACGTGTTGGTTGTTGTGTATTGTTGCTACCAGTTGTTTGTTTCTTGTTGTTTGTTACTAGTTGGTTGTTCACAGGAAGCCGTGGCTTTTGGTGGCCGGCACCCTGGCGTGTGGCGGCTCACGGCCCCGCTGCCCATCACCACGGAGCCCAACTGGGAGTTCCATCCGGAGGTGGAGGTCTCGCGATATCACCCCGGCTGCTTCTGGGTCGAAAGGGCGCTAGGGCAAACCGCAGGTTTTCGTCTTTGCTTTGGTGCATGTTGCTTGGATGTTAGGACTTTGACTTTTTGCCAACTAATGGGGGTTTTGATGAAGCCACTAGACGTCAAACTTTTAGCAGCAACCGAGTTTGGTTCCACTTCAGGTATATCAAGGTGCCATTTGGGTACATGCTTTTGAGCCAGAGCCATATGGGTCGCTCAAAATTGACCAAAGAGCTACGGGTAGGGTTTAGGGTTTAGTCTTTGTTGCCATTTGCCAAGGGTCCATTTTGGGTACAATTTTTTGAACCACCGTCAATTTTTAAGGTGGGACCCTCTCAAATGCTGGGTTCGCAGAATGTCATCTTCGATCTTCACGGGCAACTCTCCTAGGCTTAGAATTGCACGTCTTCATGAAGGCCATTGCCCAAGGCAGAAACAGATTTGGGTGTGTCTTTTGTTCAGGGCACCCCAAAATCGTTGCATTCCTTTTGGTTCCCCTTCAAACCCAACCCAACAAAGAGCTCCCCCCAAAAGACAAACCCATTTGTTCCCGAGACTTGGCAGTTGAACATAGGTTTGGATCTGAAGTTGTCGCACTACGCCCACGACTCGGGCTTCAGCTGGAACTGTCGCTTCCCCAACTGCGGCTGCGCGCTGGATGGCCGGCTCTCTGCAGTGAGCTTCCGGAATCAGACCTTGCTGTACGCGCGCGCCAATGTGAAGCCGCAGGGCGGTGGGCGTTTCGTGCAGGTCGCGCGCCAAGATGAGCTGGGCTGGGGGGCGTTTTCTGCGATTCACATCCTGGACTACGACATGTTCGAAGGGGACATCTACATGTTTTACGTGAATGTGAATCCTGCGAATTCGAGCACCTTGTTGGCCTTGTTCCCCATCCTGGATCGGGGGAAGAACCGGAGCAGCATCGCCATGTCGCTGTCCGAGGACGGGGTGTGGTGGTCCTCGGTGGTGGACCTCATCGCCACGGTGCCCTCCTACGGAGGTCGTACCTTCGACCACCCAGTGGATGGCTTGGAGGCAGCACCCTTTCCGTTTTTTTTTGCACAGGTGTCATGGATCCGCAACATAGCGATGTTCAAAGCAACCACTGCTCAAGTATTTACATATATATATATATATTAATATATGTTTATTTACATTTACCTATTCATTCATACACACACGCACACATATATATATATATATATACGCATTTGTTTCAACAGTATCTACTGGGCAATTGGGGAGGGACATTTTTCAAAGTTTCCTGAGATTGGCCCAGCCTCACATTTGGTTTTGCCTGAAGTCCAAGGACTCAGGAAGTCAGCCGCTCAAAAAGTCTGAAGGCCAGGACCAACACATGTTTTTCCCATGTCCAACAGAGCGTGAGCTTCTCAAACTGAATCTTCCTGATCATTTACCCCAAATGGCCCATCCATGAAATTTCCACAGATAATTTTTCAGGTGGAGGGGACCTGGGTGCATTTCTTCGTGCATCACAACGTGCCGGGCATCGGCAGCTCCAGCTACGCGGAGCCGCCGTCGACGACGGCGGCGGAGCACCCCTCGAGCATCCACCGCTACGCCATGGGGCTCGAGCACCTGGCGACGCTCACAGGGCAGGCGGGGGGCTCAGCCAGCTTGCTGGTGCTCAGGGAATGAGAAATGGAATGACCATGAATGACCCTTATAAATTCTGTTTTTTTTGTGGTTTCCTTCAAGGGGAATTCCTGGGTTCATTCCCACATTCCTATGTAAGGTTGACCCCATATCAATCAATCAACCAGCTTATTCATAGGGTGCCAACCTGGCTTCACTGGGAATCAGACCTCTTTTTGCGAGGAACACCACTCTATTAATAGACTGGCTGGTCCTGGGAATTCGAATTCGAAAAACAGGCAGAGTGATCCAGTTGCCCAGTGGGTTCCGGCCTTTCAACTGTTGTTGGGAAGGGCTCCCCTTTAAACTCAACCAAACAAGAAAGGATCGTCTTTTTCTGCCATGGCCACTGGGCATCTGAGGTCGAGTACGTGGATTAAGATGGGGGGAGGGAGGGGGGGGGGTTCTGAAGCCTTAAGATAATTTCCTCTTAAATGGGACCTGTGCTGATCCATCTCCACGAAGGGTTGTTCAAAGTCTATCCTAAAACCTGTATGATTCTGCCACATGGTAGTGGTTGCCTTGCTGTAGTGATGTCTCATGCTGGCTCGAGGGTAGGGGCTCGGGATCCCCCGTTTTGAACAACCCAGCTTCCTTTCTGAGCTCACTTTCACCCCCCTCAAAGGAAAAGGCGCAAGTTACAGCCTAATATCTGCTAATCTCTCATTTTGTCCGCCCTCAACCAATGACGACCACTGACGACGGTAAAAAAGACCACGCTTGATGCTTGCGAGAGGCGGAGCTCGTCGGGTGTTGTTTTTGGTTGATTTGGTTGAAACATGGAGGTTTACCTGGTGGTTCAACCAACTACCAGGGCCATGCATTTTCACAAAAAGGACACCTCATGGTTGTTGTTGGGAAACATTCAGCATTTTTACTTATTGTGGTTTAGTGGTTGGGATCCCCACTTAACTGCTAACATTTAAATTTTGCTTCCCTTCCAACGTCAACCAAGACCTATGGTCGGGTCCTTTGCGCGTTTCTCGGGTCAGGCGGTGCAGCAGCTGCGGGCGGAGAAGCTGAAGCACCCCGTGGTGCTGCCAAAGGCGGCTCCAGGCAGCAGCTCTGACGTGAAGGGGGCGGTTCAGCAGGTGGGCCTGGACGACGGAAGCCGCCGGTGAGCTGGGCGTAGCCGGTGGGTTCTGCCCGGTGAGCTCATAGCTCTCGTCTCTGCATGTTTCAGGCCAAAATGGTCACACTCCGCGAACTGACTGAATTTGAAGGGAATGGGCTTCCAGGACCCCCGAATGTCAGGTTCCATGTTAATGGTTGGGGGGGCGGGGGGGAGAACCTCTATTCGCTGAAAGCAAGACATGACAAGACACCCTTGCCTTGTCTCGGGCCAAGGGGCCCCCTCCAAGTCCAGAAATCTGTCCAAATTGCGAGACTGTCCAAGCAACCGTTAAAAGTGCTTTAACCAACAAGCATAAACTTGAAGAAGTAAATCGTTTTTGCATCACACCCTTCTTTTGGGGGTGTCAACGGAGCTGGGACAGCCTTGCCTTCCACCACTTCTCCCGCATTGTCACGCCTCGCGCGTTTTTTGGTATCCGGCCCCCGCAGCGCTTTAAGCGGCTCGTGGGGTGTTCCAGCGCCGGGGCCCGGGGAAGGGCCGCAGCCGGGATGTGGAAGGCGTGGGTTGCAGATCTGTGCCGGACTGAAATGGGTCTAACTTTTTATAGGAATCCGACACCTTACAGGAATTGCACCCCTCCCTCCCCCCCCAAAAAAAGGGGAGAGGAAAATCCACTAAGAAACAGGCAGACCCAATGGGTACGGGCGAAATGAAAGTACCAGAATACGGACCGCAGGTTTTGTGTCCATTTAGGGTTATTCATTTTGGGGCGCTACCCTATTTTTGACCACCACACCCAAATGAAGCCCTCCAGTTGGAAGTGGATACGCTGGCGAAGCCGCCCGAGGACGCTTGACCCGGCGCCAGGTCTTGCAGCCGCGGTTAGGCCGCCGTGCGGTGGCCACCTGGTCCAAGTTCCAGGCACGAGTCGAATCAGACGATGGGGAAGGGGTTGAGAATATATTTCCTGCAGGGATGTGTCGTACATATCCACATGGGGGGGGGCATGGAAGGGTTTTGCGATTTTGAAATCAGGTCGCGTTTTCATTGTTTGTTTGTTTGTGTGTGTGTGTGTGTTGGCAGACAGTGCTTTGTCACTTTCTCTGGGCATAGGCGCCTCCCATGGTCTACATTGCGGGCGAGGCGCAAGTCGGAGTATGCCAGCTTCGATCAGCAAAATGATCAGAAGGGGTGGCAGATGCAGTGTGTGAGCTCGGTTCAGCGGGTGTATTTTGGAACTGGTCGGCTGGCGTTGGACATCGTTTGAAGGGCCGGCATCGCAGGAGATGTCTCGCTATACCATGGAGCTGATCATGGACAAGTGGGTGAAGCCTGCAGTAGACACCTCAAAGTGGGAGTACTATGACTTGAGCTGCAAGGACTTCGTTTCATGGGTTGGACTCAGTTTCTTGGAGCCCCGCTGAGGGGTCCCCGAAAAAGGGTGGCCGTTTCAAGACACTGCCTCGCTTTTTTTGACGTGCACGGCTCTGGGCCACCTGCGAGGGTGGGTTGTCAAACAAAATTCCACATGCCCGCTTCAAACACAGGAAAACCCCAAGTTGGGGGGGGGGGGGGGCGGGGTTTCCTTTTTGGTTGCGCGTTGCCACCGGGCAGAGTTCAGTCGTTCAGTCCAGCCAGGAGAGAGATGCCACCAACGACCAAGTCCTGAAGGCCTGTTCTTTGAGATTATGACGCGGTTGCCCAGTGTAAAGAAGCTCACTCATCAAGGCCTTTATGGGAATGCTGATCAAGGCTCTTATGAGAACACACGATTTCCGTTGAATCGTTCAATTTGGTGCAGATGGTTCCTTTTGTCAAGGCTGTTTCATTTCAGGCATGGGTTTGGAGGGTATGGATGCTTATGTATACCACCAATACAGCTTGAAACAAAGTGGTATATATATCCCCCACACCTCCAAACCCAACACCTGAAAACCTGAAAGAACACCCTTGAATGCTGGGTGATGGCCTTAAAACCGGCCTCAGGACGCTGTCGCCGCCGGGGCCCGCATCGGCTCCATCTTCAAAGAGCGGCCCACTTGAGCAGTGCCTCGAGTCGACTCGTGGCGCCATGTGGGCCAAGGCCGACCATCACCCCAACCAAGGAGCAGTGCTCCCCTCAGCTCTGCAGCGATGGCTTCGATTTTTTTCTCAGACTCACCCGGGGTCCCTACGCCTTTAGTTTCAAGCATCCGCCAAATCTCTAGTTCCTCTGGTTGGAGTGATGTTTCTTTCCCCCCCACCAGCTGACCGATCTGCGTCTGAGGGTTCCCGACGCGTCTACTTTCTCAATGCTTGGCTGGCTCATCCCTTCTCTATCTTCGTCTATCCTTTTCAGGTAGCCTTTGATTGATGGGGGTTCATGGGGAAAACCCAAACCACACCCAAACCACCCAAACAAACCAACTACTACACCGGGAAGCTGCTTAGATGGCTCGAGCTCACATCCGAGGATGGCATCCATGGGCTTGACCAAGCCCTTGGGCTCGCCCAACGGCCTCATGCCCCAGCCCCGGACAGTTCCCATCAAGTGGCCGCCAAAAGCCAAATAGTTGCCATGAAACAGGATTTTTTGGAGCCATGGCAACACAGCGGACTTTGTCCCCACCCAAAAAACATGAGATGTTGGTTCCCCAACTTTTGCTTGTTTGTCAGGGTTTCCTCATGGATTTCAGGAGTGCTGCACCGTTGCCGCCACGTTCGTGCGTCGGAGTCACGCTTTTGCCCCCGCGCCGTTGCCTTTGCGAGGCGCCGGGGCTGGAACGGCATCACCATCTCACGGGACCGGATCCGAGGGAGCTCGTTTTGTTTGATGTGTGTGTTTTGTTTAAACAACTTGTTTTTCTCGTTGTTATTTTCTTTTTTTTTAGGGGCGGGGAGGTTTAAAGGAAAACCCGAAGAGACTTTCTTTCTTTTTTTTTTTTGGGGCGGGGGGGGGGGGGTTAAAGGAAAACCAGAAGAGACGCCACCATGTTGGAGGTATGCTTTGATTTGCCTCTGAGGCAGATTTGTGGTTACATGGCCAGATGGCTTCCTAAGGGGCGGCCACAGGGACCCAACTACGGCTAGTCAATGGTTTTCAGGTGGACAAGCCGAGGGTTGTGGACCCTTATGCGTTCAAAGAAAAGGGGCAGGATCGGTTCATTCCAGTATCGGTTGTGATCGGTGTTCTACTATTTTCCCCTTGGCTGCAAAAATGGAGTACCAACTCGAAAACAACAGACCCAAATGAGTATGTAGCTGAGTTGAAAACCCTTTGGTGGGCATCATACGGGGACGTATGTCCAATCGCCTTTGTTTCAGGTGCCAAGGACAGCAGATAGGAATCGGTCCCCTCAAATGCTTGCTGTTGTTGGAATACCAAAAAGGGAGTCCATTTTGAGAAACTCCTGGTTGCGAGCAGAAACTTCTTTCCACTCAACACCGACGCGTTCTTGGGGTTGGCCAGTAGGGGAACTCCACCGCCATTTTCGGGGCTCCGACTCCAACCAGCCGACCAAACAACCAACCAAAACCAATCAACAAACGAAAGCTATCCGACAAACGAACGCTAACCAAAACCAACCAACCAACCAACCAACCACCAAAGCCAAAACCAACAAACACCAAAGCCAAAACAAACAAACACCAAAGCCAACCAACACCAAAACCAACACCAAAACCAACACCAAAACCAACACCAAAACCAACACCAAAACCAACACCAAAACCAACACCAAAACCAACCCAAACCAACCAAAACCAAAACCAACCAAACCCAAGCATTCCTCAAAGACAAGGTTCCCTGTTTGCCTCGAAGGACACCATCCACATCCCCGGCATCGAGCTGGGCTTCAAGCGCCCGGTGCTCTTCGAGCGCCACGCTGTGGGTGGGGAGTACGGCGCCGGCTGGAAGAAGGCGCTGGGGTGAGAGACGCGCCGTGCACGTTGGCTACTTTTGAGCTCTACGTTGGCCAAGTTCCAGGAACGGTCCCCAGTTTGCTTCCCACATGGGTTCCCTGAAAGCTTCCAAATTCGGCACAAGTTTTCCAACATTGCAACGCGCAATGTTTTCCAGATCGCGGGCGACGGTTTTTGCAGGCGCCTGCTACTTGAAGGTTTAAATTGCCGCTATTTGAAGGTTTAAATGGGTTAAAGTTTGAATGGTTTGGAGATTTTGAACCCTGGAATACCCTCCCTCAACCACCAAAGCACCAATCCAAACCGCCAATTCGGGCTCTCCTAACTTGGTGACTTGGTGGTTGATCGTCCGGTTCCAGACAGGTTTCAAGTGGGTTTCTCGTGGGTGAAAGGTGGTTTGGTGTCCATTTGAGCCACTAAAAGTTAGACCTTCGGCAATTACAACAGGGAATCCCACTTTTAGGATGGTTTGAAAGGGACACCAAAACGAAACTACCTGAACAAGTCCGCCAATTTTGAGAGACAAACATGTGGCAACATGTAAACAAGTTATGTTTATATTAGGGGGTAGCACGAGAAGCTGTCTTTGTCTTGCACCAAGAAGACCTCAATCCGAGAACACAACTTCATGTCAATGTTCAGTCCATCATGTCCTGTCCTGCTTTGTTGTTTCGGATATGCCCAGCTATGCTGAAAGGACATCTTGCAAGGGTGACGCGGCCATTGTTCATACATGAGTCTGTTGTTGCTTGGGGGGACCCCCTTTTTTCGGTAATTTTAAAGGGAGACCAAAAGGTCGATCTCCATTTTTTTTTGGGGGGAAAGGGAAACCAAAATAACAATCTCCATTCTTTCTTTTTGTTGGGGGGGGCGGTCCCCTAAAAAAAGACAACCGCTGGAATCCGCCTCGTTCTGAAGGTTGGCAAGGGTCGGGTGCTCACAACCTTCTTCCCCGAGAACATGGACGACGCCGGGAAGCCCAGCGCTGCGAATGAGGGGAGGCGTGGAGAGATGGCAGTGGGTCAATAGGTACCCCAAATGGAACCCTAGTAAGTGGAAACATGGACCAAAACCTGCGGTCCCTTGGTGGCTTGACCCATACCCATATCGTTCTTCGTTTTTGCTGCGGGAATGCCAGGGGAAGCCCATCATCGTGGATGGCAGGGAGGTGAAAGATGAGAAAAGCGCAGAGCCCTTAGTATTATGTTGCGGTGCACTGGGCAAAAGGCGCCGGAGGTGCCATGTGCGAAGTGAAGTGCCGCTTTCTCAGTGTGTGGTGGTCTACGACAACCCGCTGGACAACGTTGAGGAGATGCAACTGGGAGTCCCCAGGTGCTGGGGGGTGGCGCACATGTCGCTTAAGGGGCCCCTCCTTTGTCCTTGCCTTGTGAACCAATCCCTAGGTAGGGGACCCTCAAAAGACATGCATTTCCATTGTGCGACAGGGTGACAAAGAATCCAGGACCTAGCCCATGTCTTCTTCCAGCGCTGCTTGGAAGCCAAGGCGAGTGTGGTCGGATCAATCTTTCCTATATTTCTCAGTTGGCTTGTTTTAGACACCACCTTTTGGTTCCCAGCTTAAGTTGACTTTCTTTCTGGCTGCTTGAAGGGGGGGATTTTGGGACCGCCGTTGAACGAGGATTCGTGCATAAGGTTTTGCCGCCAGGTAGTGCCCTACGTCGTGACGAAGAAGACGGCCGCTGTGCGGAATTTCTATTTGGGTCCGACAGCTGGTAGGATTCGGGATCCTGTATTTGGAACAACCCCAGCAATTTTCCCGGTCAACCAGGAGCAGGTTTTTCCGTCACAACCCTTTTTTGGCTTGTTGAAGCATGCATCTCTCTGTTGTCTCACGGAGAGTTTTTTTGAAGCCCGAGTTCAATTCAAGTTCCTTGAGATTGACCGTTGCCTTTGGTTCCTTTTGTCGCCCTTTGGTGTTTTGCCGCTTTGTTCCGAGTCTTCCTGTTGGCCAAGGTCTTTAAGTGGCAGGAGGGCTTTTGGCAGATCATGAGCGACGTCTTCGACGCGCAGTACAAGGCGGCAGGGCAAACTTGCACAGAGCATGAGGTTTGTCGATTTGGGGACGTGGCTGGGGCGGGGGCGGTTGCCCTTTCTCCCACTTACATGGCACCTGTGGGAGGGTACCTGGAAAGAGCAGTTTGCTGTTGCAGGGACTCCTCAGGTGCCATGTTAGTGGGAGACAGGGTAACGTGGTTTTCCCTTCCAAGGGTTTTTCCAGTCAGCCTTGGGGGTGCGCAAGCAGCCCCGGCCCTGAGACTCGAGACTGAAACAAAACAGACCGAAACAAAGCCTGAGGACGCCTTCTTGGCTGCGGGTCTTTTGGTGCGCTCCTCAGTCGAGGTTCCCCGGTTTCTGAACGAGCCTTCCTTTCTACTTGGCGGTTCCCAGACGTCCGGCCCCTTACGCTTTTAGGCTTTTAGGGTTGAGTGGTAGTTTCAACCAAACCACTAAACTTCGACTTTTTGGCAGAGGATCTGGGAGCAGCCCGTTTTAGTAAGCCATCACCCCCGCAGGTGGTCTTAGTTCTCAGTCACGTTCTTTCAGGAGAAGACGAAGGGGGAATTGCCGGGCTCACAGCTCTCCGGTCCTGCAAATTCTACCAGCTCAGGGTTGTATCCATAGCCAGTTACTCCAATTACCCTCCCAGCCCACCAATGGACATGGAAACTGACAGGGGGGTCCTGCAAGACCATTTCCTTTTGAAAGCACCCCGGACCGCCAGGTTCCATGTGAAAAAAGTGGTGGTGGCGGGGGGGGGGGGGGTACCGTGAAGCTACCTGTCGGTTGAACGTCCAATTGTCGAGGACATTCTCGGGATCAGATCACTCTCCTTGCGTTTGAGGCAGCACCTCATCAGCGATGCTGCCACGATGCAGATCATCCGCTGGACGGACGGGGGCTTTGGAATGGCATGCCATGGCCATAGCCATGGGAGAAGGGCGGAGCTGCTCCAACTTCAAAGGGGTGAGGTTGCGAACTTGGTAGCCAGATGGCCCTTAAGAGGAGCTACCGAAGGACGTATATAGCGCGAGATGGGTGAAGCAAGGGGTTGAGCTGCCATCCCTCGCTGGGCAAGCAGCTCACCGCGCGCCCTGCGCTTGCGGCTGCCTGCGCTCCGGCGCCGGAGATTTTCCGAGGTCACAATTACGACGGCGACATGCTGACGGACGAGGCGTCTTCGTGTTTTGCGCGGTGTCTTTTCCGACTGACCAGTCTGCAAGAAGCACGCAATCGGAAGCGAGGCACGAAAAATAACACTGCACATGCACAATTCCTGACTGCTCCTTCCTTGCAACTTCCGTGTAGTTGCAAAGTTGGCCATGCCCATGGCAACGGGCAAATGCCGGCAGAGATAGCTTGATCCAAAGATCAGGTGGCGCAGGTTCACCGAAGTCCTGGCTTCATCACTTCCAACCTCATCGGCAAGAGAGAGGACACACGTCGCAAATTCCACTGGGAGGTCCACCCATAAGCCAAATATAGCTGACCAGGTGTAAGCCCCAATATACATAACCCTAACATTTCAAACCCTGAATCTCATGCATGAATAAGTCGACTCTCTTGTTTTGTCCCCCTCTTGGTTGAGGGAATTTCAGGACGGCACGCTGATCAAGGAGTTCGAGGTCGGACTCTTGCATTTCGGGAACCTCACAACGCCCATGTGTGTCTTGAAACCTAGTGCATCCGTTGGGACAAAGCACAGGCAAACCAACCCCGTGGAAAGCGAATCCCTTGTCGTCCAGCTGATTTGGATTCAAATCCTTGTGAAGTCGCCCACGGTTTAATATGTCCCTACTTCCGTGAGTTGTATGCTTACATGTAGGGTTTCCCCATTTTGGGGGCTTGGGGGCCTCATTAAATCCGGGGATATCAACTACTTACCTGACGTGGGATGGTTCGACTAGGGAATGTTCAGGAATTGGAGGTATGGAGGAGTTACATCCCACTCATGGAGACATATAACATATTTTGGCTGCGAACCAACTTTTTAGTTGGTTGAAAGGTAGTTCCCATTTTATGTAAAAGTTAAACTTTCAGCAGCATGCATATACATATATCACATATATATATATATGAATATGTATATGTACTGCCGCTTATGTGGGTGGATAAGCCTCCCTTCGCACCTAACCCCATTTTGGAGGCGTCCCACGGCACGGTGGCGGACCTTTGGCACGCGCACCTCCGCGCGGGGCTGAATCAATGCCGCCTTTCAGCTTTTCTCATTTTCCCTAAGAGGCGCAAACGCGACCCTCCCAGCGACTATCGTGGAAGGGGCACAAACTCCCTATTCCAAGAGGAGAGTAGTCTTTCTACAGGGGCTTGGGCACTTCCATATTAATGGGTGGCAGGGTAGCAGATATGGGTGTGGCCCCTCAGCGTCTCCCAGCTGGCTTCTTTTGTGGCAGATTTGCACAGGCAAGCCCTCAGCACCCACACCATTCTGAATCTCAAGATTAAACCGCTAGGGCAAACCGCAGGTGATTTTTTTTTGGTTCCGTTTGCCAAGGTGCCAGTTTGATCCAGCTTTTTGTTGAGCCACATAAAAACGAATTCAGGTTTTGAACATTCTTGAATCATTTTTGCAACCCACCAATGACTTGGGGACAGAACAAAAGCCTCAGAAGTGTCCGGAGCCTCTCGAGGCGGGGAGGAGACTTCCATGAATCCGCTGGGCATGGCGCGGGCCGCGGTTTTTCGATCCCGCATGATGGACGCAGAAGGTTGGAGAAGCCACGGAGACGTATCGTGTTATGACAATTCATATTACGCCTTTGTAGCAAGGGCCCCCCACGTCAGGTTCCATGTAAAAAGGGTGGGCCGCTATGTGTTGGTAAATTTCTGATCGCACATGCGCAGGTGGCGTGGAGGTATTGGTTGGCAGCCGGGCGCTGGGTTTTGAGTCTTAGGTGGTGGCCCTGCTGGGTGCCATGGATCACTCGGCCGCGCTGGCCGAGCGCTCGGTGCGGAAGGTGCAGTGTTTGTGCAGCCGGGGCATTGGCATTGTGGCATTACATGCATACATGCATACACACGCAACTATGATTTATAATCTAGATCATAGTTGTGAACATGTATATCTATATATTTACATATATGCATACATGTATATGTATGAGTGTATACTGTGCGTCACACTACTCGCATGTGTCCACCGATCAACCAGTTGGTAAATCAAGAGACCCTCCGAAACTTCGCCTTTCCGGTGGGCGGGGTGTTGCACCGAGGCCAAGGATCCCAAAGTCGAGGAGCTCACCCAGCGCTTCACCAAGTGCTGTCAGGCAGCTGGGGCCTCGGCGTGTGAGCCGTTGAGGGACCTGGCGGGCCAGCGCCCGCGGGGTAAGTTGCCATTTCGCCTTTCGCCGGTTTTTTTTTGCCTTTGAGGCGCTGCTTTGCGGTCTAGGCCTTTTGGCCAGGAAGTTTGGTCACTCCTTTGGTTCTTCTCTGGGCGTCTGTCATCCGTCCGAGGCCGTCTACGCAGCCTTTCGCGGTGGCAAAGGCGGGAA